AGGCGAACTAGGCGGTCGCCTAGAGCGCCATCTGCTGGAGGGGGCGCCGAACTGCAGAAGAAAAGAAAGTCATTATTTGTAATCCCTGGTTGTAACTCTGCTAAGCGCCCCTTTCAATTAGCTTTGTCTTAAAAAGACTATAATGAAGTATTACAGGAAAAATAAACTACTCTACCCATAAAACACCCCCCCCCAATGCAGCAATCGCCCCCACCCTCTCTCTCATTTGATTGATGTTGCTTTGATTCGTCCTGCTCCGACACTCTGACGGGGGAGGGGCTAGTAATGCTTCTCAGGTAGCAGTTCATGTTGACAAACTCAGTAACAACGTCAGTATTTTGTTGTCTCATACATGTTAACGTCTTTGGATGTTGACCTGTATAAAAAGCCTCAAAAATCTGTAAATTTTGCAAAAAATCTATACAACTCGCACCTGGGGGCGGAGCAAATAAATCTAAGTTTACCATAGCTTACACTGTCAAACTTGTTTTTAGGGGTTCAAATTGGAGTGGGTGGGACATAGTTCAGGGGGGGGGGGGGGTTGCGCTTCAACTCACCTAGGGCACCAAAATGGCTAGAGCCAGCACTGTTTGTGGGGGTCATATATATGCTAACGCTATGTGGTATCTAGTTAAAAATCTATACAGAATCAGGAAATTAAATAGCACTATATTTCAATGTATCCATATGTTCTTACACCCATAGTTTTAAGCTAGTTAAATTGGTGTGTTTCAATACAACACTGCAAGTAAAGAAGACAACGGCGGTACATGGCGGACAACGATCTACCAAAATAAGTTTCAATCCTGTTTTTGTCAGATGCCGGAACTTTGCCGGAGTCAATCTACAAAGATCACATCGCACCAACAGAAAAACAAACAAGCACATCCACATAGACTCATTTTGTCAAAATCCCTGCTATATTAATAAATATATGAATATATTTCTACACAAATGCTGTCAACATGTATCATTCTGTTTGGGAAGCAGATGGCAACATGTAAGCATGAAGTATATGTGAACACACGATTCACATGGATTTTATTTTGAAATCAGAAGTTTCAAAAAGACAACAGCGATACAGTTAAAACTGTGTTTGGAGTCCGTTTTCCACAGAATACATTTTTTTGCTTTGACTTCCACACTTACCACTAAACTAATTAACGATCTCACATTTCCTGCACGTGCTTCTCGGACCTCCTCTGTGTTTCACATWATTCTTTGCTCATATTTAGTGTTGCAGCAGTTGATCCGGCTTTAAAAGCCTGCAGACTACAAATGGCACGAGTCCTTGTGCAAACTTCTGTGTTTAGGTCTTTTTACTGTTTGATTTCAGAACTTTTATTCGAGATGAGAAGTTCTTTGAGATGTTTAAATTAGTTCACATTGGAGCTTTTGGTTTGTCCTCATGGACAAACGTTGTTCTGGAGACGGTTGATGAGGTGTTGCAGTTTGTCCTGTCAGCTCTGCGCAGGAACAGGCAGTAATTTACTCTATCCGCCAGAGGTTTATAGTAAATAAGTACATTTAGTTACAGTACTTAAG